TTGGAACATTAAATCCAGGCAGTTGGCTTCCTCCTTGTCTTGTAGAAAATATGAAAAGGAATGATACCCTGTGATTGATCTTGAGTCGGCATGCTTAATTTCTTTGTTGTAGTAATAGGAGCACGCAACTTTAATTTTGATAATGATATTCCCCTGAGAGATTCCATTTCTTGGAACTGGGGATACCTGATTGGAATATATATTGCGGAATCCCTTAACAAGTCTCATTTGACAACACAGTGTTTTATATCTTTCAATGTAAAAACAGCTTTTCACATGATTAAGAGCAAAAATAGAGAAAATAACCGTGACCACGGTGTCTACCGTTAAAGTCATGGTGGGGGAACCATTCATTCGGCGTCCCGACTTCTTGACTCCCCCGGCCGAGTCCCTCAGTGTGATGGACCGACCACTCTTTGCCAATCAACTTTTGAGTACTTTAAGTGAAATATAACATTCAATTTAAATGATAATGGTTACCTCTTTGTAGACCTCGACATGTAATCTTTTTTGTTTGATTTTCTTCTAATCCTCTTCTTGGTCCACGACTCTCCGTGAACCTTCTCAATCTTCCGTCCGTAGTGGATCCTTTCCACCGGACGCTCTCCGAAACTGCTCAGACAAAGAGGCAAACGTGACATTTTGTCACGATCCCCACAGACGGCGCCAGTGATGGTTTTTGGGTTTTCGGGCCCAAGGAGGTCCAACACAACCTTTAGCTGGAGGATACACCTTTCAATAAAGCTTGCTAAAATAATATGGGCTCGATGATTTTGACGTGGAAACCGAAAGGAAAACCACGGGCCTTTTTGGGCGGTGCCAAGCCTAATTCCACTATGCATTCTGTAGGTGTCTTTTGTACATATTGTATGGCTATTTTGTATATAGAGATATGGAAATATTGTATAAGGAGAGCTATACTTTGTACATGGAGATGGAGTATGCTTCTTGACGCATGGAAGAGTGGTGGAGTCTTCCCATATGGAGTCTTCCCATATGGAGTCTTCTTCGCGTGGTCTTCTTGCTTGGATGCGTGGAGAGTGGTTGTGGAAGAGTGTTTCCTCTTTAGGAGAATGATGGAGCCTTCTTGGGGATGAAAGAATAGTGAGTGGTAGTCTTTGGGAGAGTCCTCCCACATGTAGATGAATGAATGAATGGTCCATTTCTTCTTGTCTTCCCCCCTTCTTATAGCTAGCTCCTCAAAAAGTGTCCGTTGGACCATTAGTAGGGTATTGGTGGGTGATAATTAGGGGGTTATGGGTATTAAGTTGGTTGATAAAGTGTCTAACGGCTAGTTAGTAAGTAGGGTAATGATTAGGTAATAATAGGGTAGTAAACAGGTTTCATGGGTGATAATGTAGGAATAACGGCTAGTTAGACCGACCCCCTACCCGTGCCGACCTCCGGGTCGAGCCGACTCCTAGGTCGAGTCGACCCCTCGGTTTGACCCATATCTATTTTTGGACTTGCTCCATTTTCTTCTTGGGCTTCTCTTCTTCTTCTGGGCTTGATCTCTTTTCTTCTTGGGCCCCGAGCCCACGGGGTTCACACCCCATCAATGGTATTAATATTTTTTTTGTATTTTTATAATAGTACAATTGTACATTACTTTACAAATATTGTACTATTATTTTTTTATCGGACAAAATTGCTCTTACATCATTAAAGTTCTATATATATATATATATATATATATATATATATATATATATATATATATATATATATATATATATATATATATATATATATATATAGTAAGGTTCAAATGTGACGGTGTCTTACGGTGCGACGTCACCAATAATTGAGCGATTATACATTTATACACCATCAACCTTAGGAAATACACCACAAAAACACACACAAATTAGGTACGCATCACCAGAAACACACCATTAGGTGTGAGTAAAAGCACCATACAGTGTCCGGAAATACACTATTGGGGGTAGATATTGTATTGCATTTCATTGTGGTGTGTTTTGCTTACACTAGTGGTGCAGGTTGTTAACACTGTTGGTGTATATCTGGAACCTCGCCGCACCATAAGCACCCGCCGCATATTAGCGCTAATATATATATATATATATATATATATATATATATATATATATATATATATATATATATATATATATATATATATAATAGAGATCAAATGGCGCAATAGGCTTCAAGTAAAAGATGGGGTTTAATCTCAGCCCTTGGTCTTTTTGTGTATTTGTCAAACTTAAGGTGCGTCGTTTTCCTTCTTAAGCCGCGTGACTTCTGTGCTTAAGGTGCGTTAGTTCTTCAGTTGAGAACTTAAGGTGCATTTTTTGTTGAAAGTTTAAGGTGCGTCTTTCCATAGCTTAAGGTGCGTCATTTTCCTTCTTAAGGTGTATATATTTAAAGTTTAAGGTGCGTCACTTTTCTAGTTTAAGGTACATCAGTTTAAACTTAAGGTGCGTTGTTATATACCTTAAGGTGCGTGGTTTTATAACTTAAGGTGCATCAATTTGAAACAGTTGATCATTTGCATGCATGTTGGCAGAAGCGCTTCTTTTTTAATAATTTTGATTGATTTGAGCCGTTGATCTAGATTAGATCAACGGCTCAGATTTCACCCCATCTTTCACCTGGATGAGTCTTCATACGTGAACTGATCCATATATATATATATATATATATATATATATATATATATATATATGTGTGTGTGTGTGTGTGTGAGATGCTATTCACTCCTAATCTCGTTCTTCACATGACACTTTTCATTTGATGATTTAGTCATTTGACAATGGCAGTTTCAACAAGCCTCTATTTTGTAACTTCATACCCTAATTATTCTACAGAAGAAGCATTTATGTAGAGGTGAAGTTCGGAGCTACTTCACACAATCACACGTGCTGGGCATGCATGTTGGCATCCAACTTCAATTCAAACCCGTATTTTTTTTTTCCCATTATATATGCCAAAATATGACTTTGAGACTTGAAAGCTAAGCAGTGATGCTCAGCTCCAACTGCATGCCTTCAATTCAACTTCATCTTTCTTTATTTAATTATATCATTTATATGTACAGTGACCAATGACCTTGTTTGGCCATTCGCAGTTAGCGAGTTTGCGAATTTGACCAGCGAAATGTATCAACGATTTATAAAAAGATATTTGGTAAAATTAATTATTTAAGTTAAGGGTTAACATGTAAACTAATTTATAAGAATATACATATATTTCATAATAACAATAATAATAATAAATAAATAAATACAGCTGATCTCCTTTTGTTTTCCCACTTTACCCACTGATACTTTTCCCACATCAGTGGGAAAAGTAAGAATGGAGATGACTTTGCTGATAGTGTCATTGCTACATCTAATGATAATGATGAGCAAAATAGAAGGGCTAGAAGAAAAAGGGTAGAGGTTGAATCTGAAGATGCTGGTAGGGGTGTGAGTGAAGAAGTATATGACTCTACAGACCCTTGAGTTATGAATCTGAACAAGAGGATGAAGAAGCTAAGCATCATTTGAGCAGTCTAAGAAGGCAGCAAGCATTGACTGTTCTTGGTGCATTGGTTTACTTGTATTTGTTGGAGAAATATTAGTGAAAACCTTATGTGTTATGAAGAAGGGTGGAGTAGAGGATTGTCTTAACCGGTATAAAGATCTCTTTCTCATTTGTTTGAGTTTAATATCACACGTGATCACTTTAATCCAAAACGCTACAAATATTTTATAAGTCAGTTTTCAAGACTTCTAAAACGTACTCAAATCTTTCGACAAACAACTTTTTAAAGTTGTTTTAAAAACGCAAGAAAGGGCTATTCAATCCCCCATTTTAGACCAATTCTCACTGCCTTAGGACCCATAGTAATGGTTCATCAGTGAAAATATGAAATTTTGGGACTTGAAATTAGGGTTAGATTTTCATTTTTCATTTTTTTTTCTTTTTTTGGTCTTTGGAGAGTTTGAGCTTGTCTTTGGGTTAGGCTTTAATAGTGTATTGTTTTATCAAATGTGACAAAAACACTTTTTTTATTAAGGAACCTAGGCACTAGGCGCTCATTCACCGCCCAATGAGCACCTAGCACCTTTTACAACCTTATCAATAAAGAAATAAAAAGAATAACACAAAAGAGAAATGGGAAGAAGAAACGTCTAAGGGCATTCTCAATATTGTGAAGATTTTGAGGAGCTTTTACAGGTGTAATTATGAAAGAGAAATGAATGGGAGAAAAAAAAAAAAGAAAAAGAAAAGAAAAACAAAACTAAAATTCTGAAAACAAAAAAAACAAAAAAACAAAAAAAAAAAAAAGAATTACGCGCCCAGGTGGGCGCGAGAGTTGAGGCGCACCTCTCCTTCTTCATTGGGTCCTACACTCCTACCAATGACTGCAAAATCCTCATTTTTGCATGACCAACTCCCCCTCTCTCTTTCTTCCCTCTCTTTCCTCCATCTCACCCAACATTTCTTAAACTTTGTGCAAGATGCTCTTAGTGGGTTGCTCTAAGGTCATGGTTCTCTATATGTTGTGTGCAAGTATTTATACAAGCTAACCTCACAACTTTCATATACCTAATTGGCTAATTTGATCATTCCCTTCACATTATTCCTAACATCCTTCGTAGTCCTAGCAATATAATTCCAACAAGTATTACCCAATATTTTCATTTTCTAAATGTTATGGAGTATTTAACATATTTCCTAGATGCTTGATAATTACTTTTCTTGGTGAGACCTTGCAACTCATATAACTAATGACTACCCCTATTTAACATCAGCAGTTATACCATGAATCCAGATCTACCTTGCAAAGTGGACCCGGATCCAAAATACACAATTTACATATTAAATGTTCACAATTTAAATTGCGAACATTTAATATGTAAATTGCGAACATTACTAAATATTCACAAATCAAATTGTGAACATTTAGTATGTAAATTGTGTATTTTATACCAGAATCCACCTTGCAAGGTGAACCCAAGTCCAGATAATAATTTGCCTATTTAGCACTGTTGGCATCATACAAAGTTGATTGAGAAAATTGTAAAAGTTATTGAAGAGAGGATATATCGCTCAATAATCCTAACATTGCACCTTACTTAATTGGAATGGATTCTCATACTAAAGACATTATGTTGTGGTTGAAACTTGAAAGGTAGAACAGATACAGTTGGGCATTGGCATTGTTTGCTGCAGGATGGATGGAATTGGGAAGAAAACAATAGCCAAATATGTCTTCAATTTAAACTATGTACTTCCTGAAAAATTATTTTCATATAAAATCTGTAAACAAAATTTGGTCAGTCTGAGATGGAATTGATAACATGGAGAGGTCCAAAGCTACTCCAAAACAACACATTTGCCACTGTGATCTTCATGTACAGTGATAAGTTCTTACATAACACAATCCATTGTGACATTTTGGCGGTTAGTAGATCAAACCCATTGTTGGAATCTTTGTGTTTCACAACGTCAAATAGGAGGTTGCCATGTTCCTGGTCTAAAGGATTCTCCAGATCCAGATGGCTCCGATGACCTGCAAACAAGGCGAGAAGTTAATGCTCAAGCGCTTACGATTATAGCTCAAACTATGATTTGTATAACAATCATTTGAATGAGAGAATAACGTTATTGCCAGAAGTCATTGCCCACCTGCTTTCATCCTCTGCATTAGATGCTTCTGCAGCTGTATCACCTTACAAGTGGAAACAAAAAGATGAATTTAAGTTAAAAAGCAAGCAACAGTGGCACTGGTTTGAGTATTATCACAGTATCACCACCTCAATAAATCTAAAGTTATATGATATGGTTTTATGATAAAAGAGAACGGCAGTAGATAGTATACATGTGTGCCAACTAAAGCCATGAATCCCGTTTGGTTGGAAGGAATTAGAATTCCACTCCCACATAATTCTAAAGGCAAGCAAATTCCTTCGTTTGGTTGGAGGAAATGCAAATCCGCAGAATTGCAATTCCCTCATTTTCACGGAATTATAATCTCATGTCTCCCCCTGGTATTTTCAATACCGCAGTTTTTTAGACCCTTAAGACAATTATCTTTCTCTTTTCTAACCTAACATTGATGTTTCATTTGTCTGCTATAATAAGTATGGGCATTTTGATCTTTATACTTTTAATTCCCATTGATACCAAACATTGGAATTAAAATTCTCAGTAATTCTATTCCTGTAAACCAAGCATTGGAATTTAAATTCCCAATTTATTCTCACACTATTCCTCTCCCATGGAATTGCAATTCCTTTCCCCCCCCTCCCAATTCCTTCCTTGCAACCAAACACCCTATAAGCTGTCACCATCCTCTTCAGGCAGAGGTTGATTTCCATGAACTTCAAAGGCGAGTTTATTGGGGAACTTTTATAGAAGAACATAATACCTTCCGTGGCATCTGGGAATTGTCTAACAAAACTTTTCAAGTCTGGAGCAGCAAGTTTACCTAAAAACATAGAATAAAGGAAGGTCAGTTGGCCACATGTCAAAGCAAGAACTAGTAAAATTCGTGGCTTACCAACACTTGTCACTTTGATCTTGCCTTCTTTAGCTAGCCTTTCCTCTTCCGCCTTTAGACCTAGGTGCAATATAAAAGGAATTATATATAATGGGGACTTTACATCACTTCAAAATCCTAGCAGAGTTTTCAGAACCCTTCTATAATTTGACAAATTACTTTACAGAGTTCAAGTGATATGTGTAAGTTTTAACAGATGATAAGAACTGAGGCATAAAATTAATGACACTTACGGGCAACATTAAGTCTAACAAGCTCCCTTCTAGCCTCTAGCTCCGCCATTTCCTGCAAAAACACAAATGCAGATCTCTCTGGTGAAACTATTGCTCTCTTGTTGAGATGGTCATCCAGACCAAGTTCTCTCCAAATTTGTTAGACCTTAGCTTATCCTAAATTTTGTTATTTCAATACTATCATTGAAGAAGGACACAGAAGGCTGCAAGTTATTGTAATTTTATTTGTAACATATTGAGGATGGCAATTAATTTTTATTGAAAATTTTGAGACATGTATTGGGGTTTAGGGTTCACCTCAGGAGTTGGAGCATTTTTACGTTGTCCATTCAACCAGCATATCCACTCAACTGCATTGTTTAAGAAGAGCTCATTAACCATGATAAACATTATTCCCAATAAAGTCATGTTACAATCCATTCAATAAGGGGGAAACATGCATTCTTCATTACTATACTTTTTTAATAAATCAACATATAACAGTCCACTGAGCACATCAATTTGACAATATTCTACTCTTTCAAAGGAGTTCTTTATATTTGACCAATAACCATGCAAAATGAGCATTCTTCAGAACTGTTTCCTTCAGACAAGTTATTATGATGGGTACCCAATCTTTTGTCACCATGCCACCAAGTGAAAAATGATCAAATTTGGTGTTGTTACAAAAAAGTGTGCTATGAAAATTTGACAAATTCAAAGGGTAATTACCCCTAAAAGCTGTAAAGAGTAAACATACAAATTAGAGAAACATCAAACTCGAGCTACGGGTGCATACCTGGGACGGAAGTTGGTTCATGTTCGCCTTTAAATACCACCCATCTTTTCTGTTTCACTGAAATATATTTTACATGAACCAAATACCATGAGAAAATGTTACGGTCTCTACAAACTATGCAAAGTACCATAAATATAGCTTTTGCAGTGACATGTTGTTCAGTAGCTGATCATAATCAAAATCATTCTCATGACAAGTGATTACTATTTTGTTTCTTAGTTGAATTGCAGTGTTAGAACAAAATTCATCCATAGTTGCATCGGGGCTGCTCAATACTTGCTAACTGAAGCAAACTGAGGTTTATTAGGACTATATAAACTCACAAAAATGTGATCTTTTTGCTTTTAATAATCAAGACAAGATTCAAGAACTGTTCTAGCAAAACCACCTTCATTGGGACTAAACGAAACATATTGAGCTATACTAGGACTATCTAATCTTGCAAAATGTGCGACATTTCAGCTTGCAGTAAACACAATGATTCAAGAAATGATCTTTTTAGCACAATAATTAAATTGATTCATAAACACATCCCAATGAATAGAGTATGGGGAAAAATCCCAAATTGCGAAATAATCACAAAAATGAATTGCAGGAGAGAAAGGAGACCCACTTACTGATACCATCGATCTCCTCCGTTCTGGTGAAGTATCGATTCCCTGCTTTGTCTACCCCTACCATTCTCCTGTTGCTCAACATCCCCGCCAACCTTGCCCATATCCTCGACATGCTCTCTCTCTCTCTCTCTAAAAAATTTTTAAAAATTCAGAATAGTGAGCAAGATTTTCGCATCGAAGTAGGGATTTGAAGCAAAAGCGACTCGGGGAGCAGTAAATTCTCGAAATTATAGTTTTACAGTTTATACCGTTGTAGGTGGTGTTTTGGAAAAAGCTTGGGTAGAAAATGTTTTCATTTCTCTGGCAAGAAGCAAGTTATTGGATACATATCTTCTCGATGCAATAGCTTTCGACAAAAATGGTGAAGTTTTTCAAAAAACAAGATGATCTAGATTTCATTTTCAGCTTTATAAATTTGATAAAATATAATCAAAAGAGTAAATTTCGAAAGGATCAAAAACCATACTTAAACAAGGTACGATTTTCTGCTCCAGGTCACACAATAATTTGCCGAAAAGCTGGGCTTTAGGGGGAAAAAGGACATATCACATATGGGCCATTTTCTTAAAGAATTACATATCTACTATATATATATCTACTATACTAATAATCTACTATACTAATAAGAGCCCAAGAAAGTTACGCCTATAATAGGTAGAAAAAATGGCAGTCATAGATTTTAATCAAATGAATGGCTCAGATTGATTAAAAGGTTGATAAGATTTAAATTTTACACTAAAATTTCCTAAAATACCCACACACCGTTACTAATTCCGTTAAAATTTTAACAATTGTCGTTAGTTCACCGTTAACTTACTCATTGATTTCAATAAAAAAAAAAAAAAAAAAGGTCTTAGGTTCGAACCTCATCCCAATCAAAGTTGGCATAATTAGTACAATTTTAAGAATTGCCGTTAGTTCACCGTTAACTTACTCATTGATTTCAATTAAAAAAAAAAAAAAAGGTCTTAGGTTCGAACCTCATCCCAATCAAAGTTGGCATAATTAGTACTCTATTTTACTCTTATTAAATTATATAAATAATAATTTAGTAGCTACAACAAAAAATTATAGATATGCATTTCTTTAATTTAGAATTATGTGTTCACAATGCCTTTATTCAAAAAAAAAAATTATTCATTATCAATAAATTAAATAAGAGAAATAATTGTATTAGTTATATTGTCTTTATTTTTCTACAATATAAAAATTCTTTATATTCAAATTTATTAATTGATTATATTCGCTACATTGTCCTTACAATGTCTTAATATAGTGAAAAAAAATTATTTATTATCAATAAATTAATTAAGAGAAATATTTTCATTAGTTATATTGTCTTTATTTTTCTCAAATGTAAAAATTTTTACATTCAAATTCATCAATTGATTATATTCACTACATTGTCTATTATCTTTTTTGTGCACTATTTTTCTAATTAAATATCAAAGTTATAATACAAAATAATGCTATATATTTATTTACCAAGTATTTTATTAATACCATGAAAAAATTAAAAAAATATATAATTAATAAAGCCAACCATATTAACTACTTGAGAGCATTCAAAAAAAAAAAATATTAACTACTTGAGAGATTTTGTGACAAAGAGAGTATTCAAATCACACAACAAATTGAAGTGAGAACTACCTTGCAATGTCCTTGTTTGACAATCAACAGTTAGCGCGCGTATTATATTAGCGGATTTGACCAACGAATTTATTTAATTATTAACATTGGGTAGAAAAATGACCGCCAAATTATTAAATCAAATGAATGGTTCAAATTGTTCAGGTTTTAATTTTTTTAAAATTTTTTCTAATTTATCCTTAATTATATGATTATTCATTTAACTTTTCCGTTAAATAGCGTTAATTCACCGTTAGTCTAATTATAATATTAACGTCTTCATCCCAAATGCTCTGTCGGGCCGGGGTGTGGGGGGCCCTTAGGGTTGGGGTTCAGCCTTTTGAAAGAATAATATTAACGTCTAATTTAGAATTATAATTGCACCATTAATCTAATTCTAATATTAAAGTCTTCATATAACTTAACCACAAATCCTAATGTCGAAATCTCCTCAAACAATATTAGTATATATTTAATATTTTATGCCCTAATTTTTATTTGTTCTCCCTTATGTCCCGTATTTGGTTTCAACCATACCTATACAATTATTTTATTGACAATTATAATCAATCTTGACTATATTATCTTGCATTTGTAAACTTAGAATTACCTATTTAACCCGCACGGGCTTAGCTCAATGGTTTAGTGGGCAGTATTTGGGAGAAGAGACCAAGGTTTGAACCTCGGCGGCGACAGTGCGGGAATTATGTCCAAAGTGGGCAGATTCCTTGTTCGCACCGGCATTTGGTCCTGTCTGCTGAACCATTGAGTCACCGTGATTTACAACTTCCTACAATGCTCTGTCGGGTCAGAGTGTGGGGGCCCTTGGGGTAGGGGACTCAACCTTTGGGAGAAGAATTACCTATTTAAATACGCAACTTCAACCTTCAATTGTCTATGCATGAACAATTTCAATATAATCTTGCCTTAATATACTTTAAAGTACTTATTTAAAAAAAAAAAACATTGGGCATTATCCCAATCGCAATGCGCGTAAAAAACTAGTATTATACTAATAAGAGCCCAAGAGAGTTAGGCCTATAATGGGTAGAAAAAATGGCGGTCACAGATTTTAATCAAATGAATGGCTCAGATTGATTAAAAGATTGATCAGATTTAAATTTTACACTAAAATTTTCTAAAATACCCACACATCGTTACTAATTCCGTTAAAATTTTAAGAATTGCCGTTAGTTCACCGTTAACTTACTCATTGATTTCAATAAAAAAAAAAGTCTTAGGTTCGAACCTCATCCCAATCAAAGTTGGCATAATTAGTACTCTATTTTACTCTTATTAAATTATATATAAATAATAATTTAGTAGTTACAACAAAAAAATAATACATATGCATTTCTTTAATTTAGAATTATGTATCTACAATTTCTTTATTCAAAAAAAAAAGTATTCATTATCAATAAATTAAATAAGAGAAATAATTTTATTAGTTAAATTGTCTTTATTTTTCTTCAATATAAAAATTCTTTATATTCAAATTTATTAATTGATTATATTCGCTACATTGTCCTTACAAGGTCTTTATTCAGTGAAAAAAAAATATTAATTATTAATTAAAAGAAATATTTTCATTAGTTATATTGTCTTTATTTTTCTCAAATATAAAAATTTTTACATTCAAATTCATCAATTGATTATATTCACTACATTATCTATTATCTTTTTTGTGCACTATTTTTCTAATTAAATATCAAAGCTATAATACAAATAATGCTATATATTTATTTACCAAGTATTTTATTAATACCATGAAAAAATTAAAAAAATATAATTAATAAAGCCAACCATATTAACTACTTGAGAGATTTTGTGACAAAGAGAGTATTCAAATTACACAACAAATTGAAGTGAGAACTACCTCGCAATGTCCTTGTTTGACAATCAGCAGTTAACGGTTAGCGTTAGCGGATTATACTAGCGGATTTGACCAGCAAATTTTTTTAATTATTAACATTGGGTAGAAAAAATGACCGTCAAATTATTAAATCAAATGAATGGTTCATATTGTTCAGGTTTTAATTTTTTTCTTTTAAGATTTTCTAATTTATCTTTAATTATATGATTATCCATTTAACTTTTCCATTAATTCACCATTAGTCTAATTCTAATATTAAAGTCTAATATAGAATTATAACTACACCATTAATCTAATTCTAATATTAAAGTTTTAATAGAACTTAACCACAAATCCTAATGTCGGAATCTCCTCAAACAATATTAGTATATATTTAATATTTTATGCCCTAATTTTTATTTGTTCTCCCTTATGTCCCGTATTTGTTTTCAACCATACCTATACAATTATTTTATTGACAATTATAATCAATCTTGACTATATTATCTTGCATTTGTAAACTTAGAATTACCTATTTAACCCGCACGGGCTTAGCTCAATGGTTTAGTGGGTATGGTAGTATTTGGGAGAAGAGACCAAAATTTGAACCTCGGCGGTGGCAGTGCGGGAATTATGTCCAAAGTGGGTAGATTCCTTGTGCGTATCAGCATTTAGCCCTGTCTGTTGAACCATTGAGTCACCGTGATTTACAACTTCCCACAATGCTCTGTCGGGTGGAGTGTGAGGGGCCCTTGGGGTGGACTCAACCTTTGGGAGAAGAATTACGTATTTAAATACGCAAATTCAACCTTCAATTATCTATGCATGAACAATTTCAATATAATCCTGCATTATTATACTTTAAAGTACTTATTTAAAAAAAAAAAAAAAAGCATTGGGCATTATCCCAATCGCGCAATGCGCGTAAAAAACTAGTATTAATATACATATAATGTTGGGGCAAATTATGCCCTAGAAACATGTTCACCATGAATGGTGAACACGGGTTCAAACGGTACTATTTTTACGAAAAAAAAAATGTTAAAGTAGTGTTAGTGGCGCGCGTTTGGTTAGATTATGAATTTTCTGTTATGAGATTATGAATGCACTGTAAATTCATAATCTCATAACAGAAAATTCATAATTTCATAACTGCACATTCATAAATCCATGCAATTATGAATATGCAGGCATGGATTTATGAATGTGCAGTTATGAAATTATGAATTTTCTTTTTGTGAGATTATGTTGAAGAAGCTTGCGCGAAGAGGAAGTAAAACCGCAAAATGTGAAACTGAAGAAGAAAAGTCACGCGGTTAATTAAGGAAAAAAAAATAAAAATAACGATGCACTGTTACTGTTCGCAAATTATGCCGTGGAAACGTGTTCATCATGCTTGGTGAACACGCTTCCAAACGACGTCGTTTTTTGCGTCACTTTAAAAAAAAAAAAAAAATTCACTGTTCTATTAATGGTGTTAGTATCGAGTTTGAAGGCAGTTCTGATTTTGGTAGTTTAACAATTCTCTCTCCCATTCGCGATTGATTCGATCCGATATTCACAATTCTTTCCTATTCGCGATTGATTGATTTGAACTCGTAGATGGAAGAGACAGCGGTTCGCGGAGAAGATTCGATCAGTGATTTGATTTCTGCGATTCCAGGTTCGTTCGATTTTATGCGTTTGATTTCGTTTGATTTATGAGATTTTAGCATGTTGAAGATTTAGTTTGTTTTTTATTGGTGTTTGTTAAATATCTATGCAGTTTGAATGTTCATAATGTCGCATTTGTTATTAGTACTATGTTTCTGTTATGAATTTTACAATATGAGATTATGTATTTTATGTTACGCAATTATGAATTTTGATACTCTGTTCATGCATGCGGTATGAATGTTCATAATTTAATAGTACTATGTTCATAACATATTAACTGGTATGT